GAAATCCCAGGGCCAGCTCATGCCACCTGACTCCAGTCAACCCAGAATGAAATTCAGTATGCATAAACCAAAACCAAAGGCCGGGCTGGCTTCTACTGTAAGTCCACCTGTATTCAAAATGTCCATATAGGAACCCACAGGGGGGTGTAAAGACTCCTGGCAGATGTACCTCTTTGCTCTGTTCCAAAAGGTTTTGTTTTTCTCCAAGTTTCTTGGAATTCAAAAAACATTGTTGTTAGGCAACAGAAACAATGAATGAAGAAAGATGACTCATTCACCAATGCATTCGAGATCTAAAATGTATTAATTTAATTTGGTTTATATTACAATGAAATAATTCTTATTTTGATAGCACATTTCCTACCCCTATTAAAATCTAAAAATGCCAGACAAAAAAAAAAGCATTTTTACAATGGTGAATACGAAGGGCCAGGTTCCCAAAATAAAGCCCACTGATACTTTAAAGAGAAGAAAAAAAGCACATTCCTCCTCCTCCAAACCTCTCTCTGTTAAAACTACCTCTTTTCAGAAATAATTTTGCTTGGTTGTCAGTCTTTAACGTTTCCCCCTAGGTTCTCTTTCCTCATTGTTACCAACAAAAATATAAGCATGAAATGGGCGGAAAGTGTTTGTTTTATGTACACATCTTTGATCATATCAGAAAGGGAAGAATCATAAACACCCACTGCTGACTGATTTTAAGAACTAAATCTTGATTCCAGTTTCTACAGGGAAGATGAATAACATGAATAAAGAGAAGCTTACACATCTTTCATAAGTGTCAAGGGCCTATGTTTGGTTCTTTTTATTTAAAATTTAACTCACTGTGTAAAGCCAATGGCATCCTCTGTGAGAAGAGGCCTGGAAGGGATGCAAGTGAAGCCCTTGTCCTGGGACCCCCAACTCCCCAAACAGCCCCACCTGTCAGACCGCTTGAAGCTGTGCAAAAAGACAAGATGTATATAGCATAACAACGCGGCATTTAAAACACCTCCATTATGGTATCATCTTGACAGGAAAACTATATTGAATGTGGCTTTTCAACAAAGATTTTTAAAAAGCCATTGGCATTTCAGAGGCTAAGTGGGAGTCGTTAAGATCATGGTTCTGGGCCAATGCAGTGGCTCATGCCTGTAATCCCAGCACTTTAGGAGGCTGAGGTGAGTGGATCACAAGGTCAGGAGTTCAAGACCAGCCTGGCCAGCATGGTGAAACCCTGTCTCTATTAAAAACAGAAAAATTAGCCAGGTGTGGTGCTGGGTGCCTGTAATCCCAGCTACTCAGGAGGCTGAAGCAGGAGAATTGCTTGAACCCGGGAGATGGAGGTTGCAATGAGCCGAGATTGTGCCACTGCACTCCAGCCTGATGGGTGACAGAGCAAGACTCTGTCTCAGTGGGAAAAAAAAGTGTATGGTTCTGGATTCTGGCAGATCTGGGCCCCAGCACTGCTATATAATCTCAGCATGACCTGTCTCTGTTTTCTCATTTATAGAATGAGGAATACAACAGTAACTACTGTAGGGTTGTTTAGAGGCTTGGATGAAATATGAAGCACTTAGCACAGAGCCTGGCATACACCAAAGACTTAGTAAATATGAGCTATTATTATTTTTACTCATTGAGTGTATTAAAACAATTATTATTGTATGAGCAAATGAATCAATAAGTTTTAGGTATACATGACTTTACTTTGTTTTCTGCTCAGACTTACATTGGGTATCAGTGATTCTCAACTCTGGCTGCACGTTAGAATCACCCAGGGAGATTTTTTTAAATGCTAAATTCCTACTGAAGAACAATTGAATCTGAGTCTCTGGGGGCAGTGCCTGAATACCATATTTTTTAAAAGCTCTCCAGGGGCTGGGCGCGGTGGCTCACGCCTATAATCCCAGCACTTTGGGAGGCCGAGGCGGGTGTATCACGAGGTCAAGAGATCGAGACCATCCTGGTCAACATGGTGAAAACCCGTCTCTACTAAAAACACAAAAATTAGCTGGGCATGGTGGTGCATACCTGTAGTCCCAGCTACTCGGGAGGCTGAGGCAGGAGAATTGCTTGAACCCAGGAGGTGGAGGTTGCAGTGAGCCGAGATCGCACTCTTGCACTCCAGCCTGGGTAACAAGAGTGAAACTCCATCTCAAAAAAAAGAAAAAAAAAAGCTCTCCAGGTAATTCTTGTGTGCAGCCAGAGTTGAGAATTACTGGGCTCTACAGAGATGAGGCAAATCCTCCAATGTTTACGAAACCGACAGGCAAAACTAGGGTGAGCAGGCCTCCCCTCCTTTTCTCCCACTCATCTGAAAATAAACTGAGAGGCAACCAGGGCCCAGGCAGGCACTGACTAATCCTGATGTGGCCCACACTTTGGTTTTACCTTTTGTTTTTCCTGACTCTTGTTCAAATCAAACTCCCTTTGTTGGCTTTCCTCAGGCTAAGCCAAGAGTCCCTTTAATCTTTTCTGTGGAACTTAATTGGGGGAGAGATGCACATCACTTCATGGCCACAACAAGTAAAGATTTTCCAAGCTTCATTACAAAGTTGCCAGGTCAGCTCTTGTCTTCATCATTCTGACATCTTTACTCATTTTGGTTCTACCTTTTTGCTTGCTTTCTGAGATGGAGTCTCACTCTGTCACCCCAACTGGAGTACAGTGGTGCCATCCCAGCTCACCATAACCTCTGCCTCCCAGGTTTGAGAGATTCTCCTGCCTCATTCTCCTGAGCAGCTGGGATTACAAGCATGCGCCACTATGCCTGGCTAATTTTGTATTTTTAATAGAGACAGGGTTTCTTTATGTTGGTCAGGCTGGTCTGGAACTTCCGACCTCCGGTAGAACCATGCCCGGTGGTTCTACCTTTCTTAAGAGTTGTGAGGCTGGCCAGGCTCAGTGGCTCACACCTGTAATCCCAACACCTTAGGAGGCTGAGGCAAATGGATCACCTGAGGTCAGGGGTTTGATTGAGACCGGCCTGGCCAACATTGTGAAACCCTGTCTCTATTAAAAATACAAAAATTAGCTGGGCTTGGTGGCATGCATCTGTAGTCCCAGCTACTCAGGAAGCTGAGGCATGAGAATCCCTTCAACCCGGGAGATGGAGGTTACAGTGAGCCAAGATGGTGCCACTGTACTCCAGCCTGGGCAACACAGTAAGACTCCATATCAAAAACACAAAACAAAATAAAACCAGTGAGCGGAAGAGAAAACATCTGCTTTAATAGAATCTTACATTTTAATGAGGGAAGACAGACAATAAATAAATATGGCGACTTAACACCATACAGTGTGTTAGGTCAGCAGTCTCCAACCTTTTTGGGACCAGGGACTAGTTTTGTGGGTAGGGGGAATGGTTTTGGGATGAAACTCTTCTACATCAGATCATCAGGCATTACAGGCATTATTAGATTCTCATAAAGAATACACAACCTAGATCCCTCACATGTGCAGTTCACAATAGGGCTCATGCTCCTGTGAGCATCTAATGCTGCCATGATCTGGCAGGAAGCGGAGCTCAGGCCTTAAAGCTCCCTCACACTGCTCACCTCCTGTGGCAACCTGCACCAGTCTGTGGCCTGGGGTTTGGAAACCTCTGTGTTAGATGGTTTCAAGTGCTCTGAAGTACGTTAGGGTAAGGGAATAAAATTGGGAGGAGGACAGGGAAGTGGGTGCTGATGTTATTTTATTTTTTTAAATTTTGAGACAGGCTCTCACTCTGTTGCCCATACAGGAGTGCAATAGTGCAATCATAGCTCACTGCAGCCTTGACCTCCTGTGCTCAAGTGATCCTCCTGCCTCAGCCTCCTGTGTAGCTGGGACTATAGGTGTACCCCATCACTCACAGCTAATTTTTAAATATTCTGTGGAGACAAGGTCTTGCTCTGTTGCTCAGGCTGGTCTCAAACTCCTGCGCTGGCCTCCCATAGTGCTGAGATTATAAGCATGAACCTCTGTGCCTGGCTGCTGGTGCTATTTTACAGAGTGGTCAGGGAAACCCTGTTGGACACCGTGACATTTGGGCAGAGATCTGGGTGAAGTGATGGAGTGACTAAGGGCTGTCAGGGGGATGACCATTCCAAGAAGAGAGAACTGGAAATGTAAAGACCCTGAGATTGGAGAGTACTTGATGCCTTACAGGAATGTCTAGACCCCAGTGTGGACTTGTATGGAAAGATAGAGAAAACAGGCCAAAGACAGGTTCTGAGATGACTGGGTGAGATCATATAGATTTTATTCAGAGTGAGAAGGGAAGCACTGGAGAGGGATTTTTTTGTCCTTTTCTTTCCAACTTTTAGGTTCAGGGGGTACATGTACAGGTTTGTTGCATGGATAAATTAACTGCATGTCATGGGGGTTTGGTGTAAAGATAATTTTATCACTCAAGTAATAGGCATAGTACGCCACAGGTAGTTTTTCGAATCTCACGCTCCTCTCACCCTCCACTCTCAAGTAGGCCCTGGTGTCTTCGGTTTTCTCCTTTGTATCCATGTATACTCAGTGTTTCTAGAGGGGTTCTGAAAAGAGTGGTGTGTTTTCAATGGCTCTGCTGCTATAAGAAAAGAGCATTAAGATGAATACGTATATGTTGTTCAAACATAAATGCAATATTATGTGCATTGCTTCACTATCTTCTTTCTTCCAAAGTGAATTTTTTTAAAAAAACAAAATATGATTCTGTCATCCCTTTGTTTAGAATTCTTTGTGGATCTCCATTCCCCTAATGGTTAAGGCTAAACTCTCACAAAGCCCTCCCCAGTCTGGCGTCTGCCCACCTCAGCAGGTCCCAAATCACAGAAATGTTTTCCTAAATGGGACTCAGGGCCTACAGCCTTCCTTGTTCCCGTGTCTAAAATAAAGTTCTTTCCTTCCCTCCCCATCTACCTTGTCAACATCATGCCAAGCACTATTCTAGGCATCAGGATACAGCACTGAACAAAACAGACAAAAACTCTAGCCCTTGTGTGGCTGCACGAGAAAAGCAATAAATAAATAAACAAATAAATATATGATATTACACTATTTTAATTTTTAAATATATATTAAAATATACATTTAAAAATATGATTTCATATATCAGAAGGTGATATAGGCTAAGGAGAAAAATGAACAAGGAAGTGGGGGTGGGATGTTGAGAAAGGGGCTGCAATTTTGAATAAGGTGGCCAAGCGGAAGCCTCACTGAGAAGGTGCCTGGCAGAGATGAGAGCGCCAGTCAGGCAGTTGTTTGGAGGAGAGCATTCCAGGCAGGAAGCAAAGACCCTAAGGCAAGAGCCTGCTTGATGTGTTCCAGGAATAGCAAAGAGGACACTATTAGAGAAGAGTATGGGGGCAGATGAGGCCCTTCTAAGGACCTTGCTTTGTAGTCCGAGTGAGAGGGAGCCTCTGGAGGGTTTGGGTGGAGCAGGAGTGACTTGCTTGGACTTGTTTTCTAACAGGATCACCAAGGCTGCCGAACTGAAACTAGACAGAGGCAAGTGCGGAAGTAGGGAGACCAGTTAGGTTCCCCCAGCAAAACTGAGGCTAACAGATGATGGTGGCTTAATTTAGCATGGTGACAATGGTGATGGTAAAAAGTTAGTGGGTTCTGGGCAGGGTGTGTTGGCTCATGCCTGTAATCTCAGCACTTTGGGAGGCCGAGGTGGGCAGATAGCTTGAGGTTAGGAGTTTGAGACCATTCTGGCCAACACAGAGAAACCCTGTCTCTACTAAAAAAAAATACAAAAATTGCAGGGCATGGTGGCAGGTGCTGTAATCCCAGCTACTCAGGAGGCTGAGGCATGAGAATCGCTTCAACCTGGGAGGCAGAGGTTGCAGTGAGCCAAGATTGTGCCACTGCAATCCAGCCTGGGAAACAGAGTGAGACTCTGGCTCAAAAAAAAAGGCTGGGTGCAGGGCTGGGTGTGGTGGCTCATGCCTGTAATCCCAGCACTTTGGGAGGCTGAGGCAGGTGGATCACCTGAGGTCAGGAGTTCAAGACCAGTTTGACCAACATGGATAAACCCCCATCTCTAATAAAAATACAAAATTAGCTGGGGGTGGTGACACATGCTTGTAATTCCAGCTACTTGGGAGGCTGAGGCAGGAGAATTGCTTGAATCTGCGAGGCGGAGGTTGCTGTGAGGTCGCGCCATTGCACTCCAGCCTGGGCAATGAGAGTGAAACTCTGTCTCGTAAATAAATAAATAAATAAATAAAGTTAGTGGGTTCTGAATCTATTTCAAAGGCAAAAGTACAGGGTCTAAGGAATCAGATTTGAAATGTGTGAGAGAAAGAAAATAGCCAAGGATAACGCCAAGGTTTTTGGCCTTAGCCATGGCCAAAATGAGAGGAGGATGGAGTTGCCATCTAAGGAAATTAAGAAAACTTAATTAAGGAAATTAAAGATAAGCAGGTTTGGACAGAGGTATTAGGAATTCAGTTTTGGACATAAAAAGTTTGGGATGGGCTGGGCGTGGTGGCTCATGCCATGTAATTTCTGTAACCCTTTGGGAGGCTGAGGTAAGAGGATCACTTGAGCTCAAGAGTTTGACACCTGCCTGGGGAACATAGCAAGATCTCATTTCTACTAAGAAAAAAGAAAAAAAGCTGGCTGTGTTGGCACATACCTATAGTCCCAGCCACTTGGGAGGCTGAGGATCATTTGAGTCTGGGAGATCAAGGCTTCATTGACGTATGATAGAACCATTGTACTCCAATCTAGGAGATGGAATGAGACCCCGGCTCAAAAATAAATAAATAAAAAAAAATAAAGTTTGAGATGCCTATTGGGTATCTAAGTGAAGACATCAAGTGGGGAGTGGGATAAGCAAATTCAGGGGAAAGGTTCAGGTTAGAGATAAATACCTGGATTGTCAGCATATTGAAGCCAAAAGGCTGGCATCAATGGGTTAATGGCAGCTATTAGTAGAAAAAGAAGTCCAAGGACAGAGCCCTGGGATACTTTAATAGAAGTTTTTAACTTCAAGCTGGAGTGTACTGCAACCTCCGCCTTCTGGGTTCAAGTGATTCTCCTACATCAGCCTCCGGAGTAGCTGGGATTATAGGCATGTGCCACCACACCCAGCTAATTTTTTTCTTTTAATGGAGTTTTGCTCTTGTTGCCCAGGTTGGGGAGCAATGGTTTGATCTCGGCTCACTGTAACCTCCACCTACCAGATTCAAGCAATTCTACTGCCTCAGCCTCCTGAGTAGCTGGGACTACAGGTGTGCCCCACCATGCCCAGTTAATTTTATATTTTTAGTAGAGACAGGGTTTCACTTATGTCTGGTCTCACACTATTGACCTCAGGTGATCTGCATGCCTCTGCCTCCTAAAGAAAAGTGCTGGAATTACAGGTGTGAGCTACCATACCTGGTCATAATTTTTGTGTTTTTAGTAAAGATGCGGTTCACCATGTTGTTCAGGCTGGTCTTGAACTCCCAACCTCAGGTGATTCACACACCTTGGACTCCCAAAGTGCTGGGATTACAGGTGTGAGCCACCCCTGGCCAAAGTTTTTAACTTTTTTTTTTTTTTTTGAAACGGAGTCTCACTCTGTCCCCGCCCAGGCTGCAGTGGTGTGATCTCGGCTCACTGCAACCCCTGCCTCCTGGGTACAAGAGATTTTCCTGCCTCCTGGGTACAAGAGATTTTCCTGCCTCCTGAGTAGCTCGGATTACAGGCATATGCCACCACACCCGGCTAATTTTATCTTTTATTTTTTATTTTTAGTAGAGACGGGGTTTTGTCATGTTGGTCAGGCTGGTCTCAAACTCCTGACCTCATGATCCGCCTGCGTTGGCCTCCCAAAGTGCTGGAATTACAGGCATGAGCCACCACGCTCTGCTAGTTTTTAACTTTTTGATCTCAAGACTCCCTTACATTCTAAAAAATTTGAAGATCTCAAAGAGCTCTTGCTTACAAAAGTTTTATCTACCATAGGCCAGGGGTGGTGGCTCATGCCTATAATCCCAACACTGGGAGGCCGAGACAGGAGGATTACCTGAGGTCAGGAGTTCGAGACCAGCCTGGCCAACATGGTGAAACCCCATCTTTACTAAAAATACAAAATTAGCCAGGCCCGGTGGCGCATGTCTGTAATCCCAGCTACTCGAGGGGCTGAGGCAGGAGAATCGTTTGAACCTGGGAGGCAGAGGTTGCGGTGAGGGGAGATCTTGCCATTGCACTCCAGCCTGGGCAACAAGAGTGAAACTCCGTCTCCAAAAAAAAGTTTTATCTATCAATATATACTGTAGGCCTGGCACAGCATGGTAGCTCACACCTGTCATCTCAACACTTTTGGGAGGCTGAGGCAGCAGGATCATTTGAAGTTAGGAGTTCAAAACCAGCTTGGTCAACAGAGTGAGACCCCTGTTTCTACAAAAAAAAATTTTTTTAATTGGCCATGTGTTGTGGTGCACATCTGTAGTCCTAGCTACTAGGGAGGCTGAGGTGGAAGGATCACTTACATCTGGGAGATCAAGGCTGCACTGAGCTATGATAGCACCACTGCACTCCAGCCTGGGCAACAGAGCAAGACCCAGAAATTAAAATAAACAAGCCGGGCGTGGTGACTCACACCTCTAATCCCAGCACTTTGGGAGGCCAAGGCACGTGGATCATAAGGTCAAGAGATCGAGACCATCCTGGCTAACATGGTGAAACCCTGTCTCTACTAAAAAATACAAAAATTAGCTGGGCATGGTGGCACACACCTGTAGTCCCAGCTACTCGGGAGGCTGAGGAGGCAGGAAAATTGCTTGAACCCAGGAGGTGGAGATTGCAGTGAGCCGAGATCGAGCCACTGCACTCTAGCCTGGCAACAGAGCAAGACTGTGTCTCAAAAAAAAAAAAATAAAAATAAAAAAAATAACAATTAAAAAATTTCCATAGGGCTGGGTGTGGTGGCTCACGCCTGTAATCCAAGCACTTTGGAGGCCAAGGCGTGTGGATCACCTGAGGTCTTGGGAGTTCAAGACCAGCCTGACCAACATAGTGAAACACCGTCTTTAAAAAAAAATAAAAATAGGGCCAGGCATGGTGGCTCACACCTGTAATCCCAGCACTTTGGGAGGCCGAGGCAGGTGGATCACGAGGTCAAGAGATCAAGACCATCCTGGTCAACATGGTGAAACTCCGTCTCTAATAAAAATACAAAAAATTAGCTGGGCATGGTGGTGCGTGCCTGTAATCCCAGCTATTCAGAAGGCTGAGGCAGGAGAATTGCCTGAACCCAGGAAATGGAGGTTGCGGTGAGCCAAGATCACGCCATTGTACTCCAGCCTGGGTAACAAGAGCAAAACTCTGTCTCAAAAAATAAAAAAAATAAAAATAAAAATAAAATAAAATAAAAATAAAAAAATTTCCATTCATTCATTAAAAAATAACAATAGCAAAAATAAAATAACAATAGCAAATCCATTACATGTTATCAACAAATAACATTTTTAAGGCCGGGCAAGGTGGCTCACGCCTGTAATCTCAGCACTTTGGGAGGCCAAAGAGGGTGAATCACCTGAGGTCAGGAGTTCGAGACCAGCCTGGCCAACATGGTGAAACCCCATCTTTAGTTGGGTTAGCTGGCTATTGTGGCATCTGCCTGCAGTCCCAGCTATTTGGGAGGCTGAGGCAGGAGAATTGCTTGAACCTGGGAGACGGAGGTTGCAGTGAGCCGAGATCGTGCCACTGCACTCCAGCCTGGCGCCTGGCAACAGAGCAAGACTCTGTCTCAAAAAAAAAAAAAAAATTTTTTTTTAAAGAAAAATAACCATGTTTTCTAAAACAAAAGAAAATTTCAGGGAAAACTGTTGTTGTTTTGTATTTTTACAAATCTCTATTTGACGTAATAAACGATAGCTGGATTTTCATATCTGCTTTCACATTCTATGTGATGCCATAACATACATCGTGTAGCCTGTGGAATACTTTTCTCTATACCTGGGAGAGAATGAGCATAAGAAAGCAAATGATATTTTAGAATTATTATGAAAATGGTTTTTGTTTTTTTTTTGAGATGGAGTCTTACTCTGTCACCCAGGCTGGAGTGCAGTGAGGTAAGTTTGGCTCATTGCAACCTCTGCTTCCTGAGTTCAAACAATTCACTGGCCTCAGCCTCCCAAGTAGGTGGGAGTACAGGCGTGTGCCATCATGTCCGGCTAATTTTTTGTATTTTTAGTAGAGACAGGGTTTCACCATGTTAGCCAGGATGGTCTTGATCTCCTGACCTTGTGATCTGCCCGCCTCGGCCTCCCAAAGTGCTGGGATTACAAATGTGAGCCACCTCACCGGCCTATGAAAATAGTTTTTTACCTCATCACTCGTTGAAAAGGTCTCAGGTATGTCCAGACTATACTTTGAGAATCCTCACTGTAACATTTATAGGTTAGGAGGAATTAGAAAGCATCATCGGCTGGGCGTGGTGGCTCACGCCTATAATCCCAGCACTTTGGGAGGCCAAGGCGGGTGGATCACGAGGTCAAGAGATAGAGACCATCCTGGTCAACAAGGTGAAACCCTGTCTCTACTAAAAATACAAAAATTAGCTGGGCATGGTGGTGCGAGCCTGTAGTCCCAGCTACTCCGGAGGCTGAGGCAGGAGAATTGCTTGAACCCAGAAGGCGGAGGTAGCAGTGAGCCAAGATGGTGCCTTTGCACTCCAGTCTGGGTAACAAGAGTGAAACTCCGTCTCAAAAAAAAAAAAAAAAAAAAAGAAAGCATCTTCAATGGAAACTAAGAAGTTTAGCCAGGAGGGCTGGAGGAAAATCAGGAAAGTCTGGTGCCCTCGAGGCTGAATAAGGAAAGTGTTTCAAGGAGGAGAGTGACCAAATGCTACTGATTGTACAAGTCAACTGAGGAAGGAGACTGACCATTAGATTTTGCAACATGGAGGCCATCAAGGACCTTGATAAAAGCAGTGTTGGTGGAGAGGCGAGTGCTAAAGCCAGACTGGAGGTGGTGTCAACACATAAAGGTCACTTCTCAGCTCTCTGAACCCCAGAGTACTTAATTTACCCCAAACCTACATGTATCTCTCCCCTATCTTCACAGTTGCCTTTCTTTTTTCTGGTTTACATGTGTGTGTGTGTTTTGACACAGGGGGTCACTCTGTCACTCAGACTGGAGTGCAGTGATGCAATCTTAGCTCACTGCAGCCTCCACCTCCCTGGCTCAAGTGATCCTCCCACCTCAGCCCCATCCACATAGCTGGGACTACAGGTGCGTGCCACCACACTTGGTTAATTTTTATATCTTTTGTAGAGACAGGGTTTTAATAAGTTGTCTAGGTTGGTCTTGAACTTCTGAGTGCAAGCGATCCTCCCACCTCAGCCTCCCAGCATGCTGGGATTACAGGCATGGGCCCCTGTGCCCGGTCAGTTTACCTGTTTTAATACCTGTCTTCATCTTTACACTTTAAGTGGTGTGAAAACAGGGATCAAGTCAGTTTCATTCAGTTTTGATTCACTTCCTCAGCACACAGCAAGTGCCTGGGCTATAGAGAATGCTCCAGCCTTCCTTAGTAAGCAGTGTGATTTTCTTTAGCCACACTGCAAATCTCTCATATTCTTTCTGTCACCTTACCCTTCTTTTCCCAAAACAAACTCTGCAATTTCATCTTCAAGGTCCCATGCTTAGAAAGATCCCATGCTGGCCAGGTGCGGTGGCCCACACCTGTAGTCTCAGCACTTTGGGAGGCCGAGGCGGGCAGATCACGAGGTCAAGAGATTGAAACTATCCTGGCCAACAGGGTGAAACCCTGTCTCTACTAAAAATACAAAAATTAGCTGGGTGTGGTGGCCTATACCTGTAGTTCCAGGTACTCGGGAGGCTGAGGCAGGAGAATTGCTTGAACCCGGGATGTGAACAGAGCTTGCACCACTGTGCTCCAGCCTGGTGACAGAGTGAGACTTTGTCTCAAAAAATAATAATAATAAAGAAAGAACTCATGCTTGGTTTAATACTCTGCTGTTGCTGTCTTAAAATGGTTAATAATTTTGAACAAGGGGCTTTAAAAATTAAGTAACTTGTCCTGAGTGAAGTGATGAATATGCAAAGTTATGGAGCATAATCCTTTAACTCTGTTTCTTGTTACTTCATACAAAAACTTAATTGACTGATTACTATTGTGTTAGGCTGTTCTTGCATTGCTATAAAGAAATACCTGAGACTGTGTAATTTATAAAGAAAAAAATGGGCCAGGCATGGTGGCTTATGCATGTGTGCCAGCACTTTGGGAGGCTGAGGCAGGTGGATCACCTGAGGTCAAGAGTTCGAGACCAGCCTGGCCAATATGGTGAAACTCCGTCTCTACTAAAAATACAAAAATTAGCTGACCATGGTGATGTGCACTTGTAATTCCTGCTACTTGAGAGGCTGAGGTAGAAGAATTGCTTGAATCTAGGAGGCAGAGGTTGCAGTGAGCCAATATCGCTCCACTGCACTCCAGCCTGGGTGACAAAAGCGAAACTGTCACACACATACAAAAAAAAGAAAAGAAAAAACGTTTAATTGGCTCATGGTTCTGCAGGCTGTATAAGCAAGTCTTAGGCATCTACTCTGCTTTCTGGATAGGCCTCAGGGAGCTTTTTACTTATGGTGGAAGGTGAAGCTGGAGCAGGCATGTTACATGCTGAAAGCAGGAGCAGGAAGGGGCTGAGGTGCCACATTTTTTTTGTTTTGTTTTTGAGACAGGATCTCACTTCATTGCCCAGGTTGGAGTATAGTGGTGCAATCAAGGCTCACTGCAGCCTCAACTTTCCCAGGCTCAGGTGATCTTCCCACCTTAGCCCCCCAAGTAGCTGGAACTACAGGCTCACACCACCACATCTGGCTAATTTCTTTCTTTTTTTTGATACAGAGTTTTGCTTTTGTTGCCCAGGTTGGAGTGCAATGGTATGATCTTGACTCCACACCTCTGCTTCCCAGGTTCAAGTGATTCTCCTGTCTCAGCCTCCCAAATAGCTGAGATTACCGGTGGGTGCACCATGCCTGGCCTAATTTTGTGTTTTTAATAGAGATGAGCTTTCACCATGTTGGCCAGGCTGGTCTTGAACTTCTCACCTCAGTTGATCTGCCTGCCAGGGCCGGGCGCGGTGGCTCACTCCTGTAATCCCAGCACTTTGGGAGGCCGAGGCGGGTGTATCATTTGAGTTCGAGACCAGCCTGGCCAATATGGTGAAACCCCACCTCTACTAAAAATACAAAAAATTAGCTGGGCACGGTGGCACATGCCTGTAATCCTAGCTACTCAGGAGGCTGAGGCAGGAGAATTGCTTGAACCCAGGAGGCAGAGGTTGCGGTAAGCTGAGATCGCGCCATTGCACTCCAGCCTGGGTAACAAGAGCGAAACTCCGTCTCAAAAAAAAAAAAAGATCTGCCTGCCTTGGCCTCCCAAAGTTCTGGGATTATAGGCGTGAGCCACTGTGTGTGGCCCGCCTGGCTAATTTTTTTTGTATTTTTTGTAGAGATGGAGTTTTACCACATTGCTTAGGCTGGTCTCAAACTCCTGGGCTCAAGCCATCTGCCTGCCTTGGCTTCTCAAAATGTTGGGATTACAGGCACGAGCTACTGTGCCTGGCCAGTGCCACACTTTAAAACAATGATATTTCATGAGAATTCCCTTAGTATTGGGAGGACAGCACCAAGCTGTCAGGAATCCTCCTCCATGACCCAAACACCTCCCACCAGCCCCACCTTCAACACTGGGGATTACAGTTCAACATGAGATTTGGGCAGGGACAAACGTCCAAAATATATCAATTATGTTCTGAGTTAGCCAGGTTAAGTAGGGGGGCGCCAAAGCCACCCTAGGCAGAGGGGACTACAGGAGCAAAAACCCTGCAGCCAGAAACAGGACAGGGGTAGTTGGACAAGAATGACCTTGTCAGGGTTTGCCTTTCCCCTTTTTTTTTTTTTTTTTGAGACCGAGTCTCACTGTGTTGCTCAGGCTGGAGTGCAGTGGTGCATCATGGTTCACTGTAGCCTTGAACTCCCAAGCTCGAGTGATTCTGCCACCTTAGCCTCCCAAGTGGCTGGGACTACAGGTAGGTGCCACCACGTCCAACTATTTTTTTGTTTTTGTTTTGTAGAGATGGGGTTCTGTCATGTTGCTCAGGTTAGTCTCCTGAGCTCAGATGATCCACCCACCTTGGCCTCCTAAAGTGCTGGGGATTACTTACATGAGCCACTGTACCCAGCCTTTTTTTTTTTTTTTTTTGAGACGGAGTCTTGCTGTGTCACCAGGCTAGAGTGCAGTGGCACCATCTCAGCTCACTGTAACCTCCACCTCCTGGGTTCAAGCAATTCTGTCTCAGCCTCCCAAGTAGCTGGGACTACAGGTGCCCACCACCATGCCCACCTAATTTTTGTATTTTTAGTAGAAACAGGGTTTCACCATGTTGGCCAGGATGGTCTCAATCTCTTGACCTTGTGATCTGCCCGCCTCGGCCTACCAAAGTGCTGGGATTACAGGCGGGAGCCAAGGGGTCCCGCTGCCTCTTTTGCTTAAAAGTGGTTCTCTCCCCACTTCATAGTCCTGTTGCCCTTTGTCAGCATCTCTTAACTAGCACAGGCCCACAGTGCTTTGAATTACAGTGGCACCTTCACCCACAAATGTTCACTGGGCACTCCTTAGGGGATGGGTGATGTGCTGGAAGCTGTAGGAGGTACAGCTCCTGCTTTCCAGCAGTTTGGATTCCCTTGGGGGAGAGGGAGATGTAAGGAGTAAAGGGTAAACATGGTGAGGGCAAGCCTCCCTAGCACTCTGCTCTCTGTTCAGCATAAGGCCAGCAGTGGACATTGTTGTCTTGCATTATTTCAGATTTATATGCCAATAATGAAATCCATCTTGTTCATTATCCCATGAGCAGGGGAAACAGCATTAGAGTTTTCTATACGAGGCTGATAGGGAACATGTAGTATTTTTTGTTTTTTGTGTTATTTTGCTTTGTAATTTTTTGTTTTTTGGAGTATTCACCATGAAGATAAGAAAAGGTGAGAATAAAGTTCCCTAAATGACTGGAGGGATAGAGATACAAGTCAGATCCCTCAGATTTGGTGGTGGTGGTGGTGGGGGGAACAAGCTCGGAGGGGGGGAACAAGCTGGGAGGGGAGGATGAGCTCTTGGGGTGGGACGGGAACAAGCTCAATAAGGGACATCTGCTGTGGTGCCTCTCTCTTTTGTGTTTCTTTTGTAAATGTCCTCCCCGCAAGGTGGCTCACGCCTGTAATCCCAGCACTTTGGGAGGCTGAGGAGGATATATTGAGTCCATGAGTTTGAGACCAGTGTGAGTGTGCAGTTCCAGTTACTCCGGAGGCTGAGGTGGGGAGGGTCGGTTGTCCAGTAATTTGAGGTTGCAGTGAGCGGTGATCGCGACACTGCACACCAGCCTAGGAGACAGAGGAAGATCCTGCCTTAAAAACAAAGAGAAAAAAAAAAAAAAGAAAAAAGCCGGGCGCGGTGGCTCATTCCTGTAATCCCAGCACTTTGGGAGGCCGAGGCGGGCGGATCACGAGGTCAGCAGATCGAGACTTGGCCAACAACGTGAAACCCCGTCCCTACTAAAAACACAAAAAAATTAGCCGGGCGTGGTGGCAAGCGCCGGTAGTCCCAGCTACTCTGGAGGCTGAGACAAGAGTATCGCCTGAACCTGTGAGGCAGAAGTTGCAGTGAGCCGAGATCGCGCCACTGCACTCCAGGCTTCGCGACAGTGAGTCTCCGTCTCAAAAAGAAGAAGAAAAAAGAAATGTCCTTAATTAAGAGGGCTTCGGGTGTCCGCATCTGTGGAGTGAGGGGACGGGTTACGTGAATTCTCGAGGCGCTTCCACCTCACATTATGAAAGGTCGTTAGAGTCACATCCTAGTTTCACTCTGTCCCGAAGCAGTGGGGCCTTTCCTTGGCCTCCGCTTCCTCTTCTGTAAACAAGAGAGTGGGCTTAGATCACTTTTCTAGGAGCCTGTGGCTCCGGGACATCTGTGACACTCTTGCGGGGCGCGTGCCCAGGACCCCGCGTCGCAGCGGCGCATCTCTGGGACTCGGCCGGTGTAGGGGGCCGCGCCCGGAGCCTCACCTGTGCTCGGAGCCGTGACTCACCTGCCCTCCCCCGTCCTCCCAGCCCGCGGGCTGTTCCAGGAGTTATCGCTCCTCCTTCCTCTCCGGGTCACTCCTGGCCTAAGCTCCCACCAGGGGTCGGGAAGGAAGGAATTCTGAGGTGGGCGGCGGAGAGGAAGAGGTCCCCCGGGGGTCCCGGGCCAGCGTCGCCAGACTCTTCGCGGTGGGGGCCCTAAGCGGAGACCGTAACGGCGGGGAAGAGCGGGCGGGTCAGCAGCGGGAGGCGCCGGGAAGAGCGGGCCGGAGGGAGGTGCCGGGAAGGGCGGGCGGGGCGGGGGCCGCGCGGGGGCGGGGGCAGGGGCGCGGGGCGGCCCATTTCCTTCTCGGAGCTGGACTGTAGGGAGACAAAGCAGCAGCCGTCGGCTTCGGGCCTCCGGTATCCAGCGCTCGCCCTACTCGCTGCAGGTAACTTTGCACCTCCCTCCCCGCGGGCGCGGGCTCTCTGGCCGGGCCGAGAGGGTCCTTGGGCCGGGCCGTCCCAAGCTGGGCCCCGCAAGCGGCGGGACGGTGGGCGGGCGGGGCGCGGTCTCTTCGTCGACGTCGCCGGGAATTGGGCTCCGGGCGGGCGTGGGTCCCGCGTCGGGCCGGCTGCCCCTTTCCCCGCGGGGTCCGAGCCTGGGACCCGGGCAGGCGCGGCCGGCACTTCCCGGCGCTCGGGGTGTCGGGGGGCCGCGGCGGCTGGGGAGGAGAAGCCACATACCCAGTGCCGCCGCCGCGTTTCCTCTTGGAAAAGTTTTCTCGCGGTTTCCAAACTTTGTTGCCGCGGCCTCCGCGCGCGCGCGCGCGCCTGCCCTGCACCGGGCCCCTCGGCCGCCTTCCTTCCCTGGGGCGGCGCGTCTGGGAGCCGCTTTCCGGGGAAGTGATTGTCGTCTGGTTCTGAGGCTTCCCTGCCCCCTCCCCCTCCCCAGCCGCCGAGACTTCCCCGTGGGGCGGCGGCGCGGACGCTGGCTCCGCGAAGCTGGAGGCCGGAGGCCAGAGCCCGGGCATCTCCCAGACATCCTCGGTACAGCGTGCCACACCCGTGTGGACTTTTGGCGTGACCGTCCACCTGGACTCAGGGATTACTCAGCCTTCCTAGGTTTCTTGTCGGTTGGACGCACTTCGCTTTCGGCCCTAGTTTTCGGGAGTGGCATTCGAGATTTTTTTTTTTTTTAATTGTTGACTTTTAAAGGAGCGGGTATGTGCGTGCGAATGTGAAGCACTTGTTGGAAAAAATGTTGCCTGAATGAATGCCTGACCTTTGCTTGGCTGCAGTGGCTTCCCAGTAATGCAGGCAGCGGTTGGCCCAGTTCCAGGGTTGACTCCCTCTTATGTCTTCCTGCATCTTGGTCAACATTTTTTTTTTTTGGTGCCTGTGTTCTGTACATAATTTACAGTTATTTGGAAAAGAGCGAGATATGTTAAGTCTCCAACTAAATTCGGGGCATTTTATATTTATGATGAAGGAAATGCTTACATCATTGTATTGTTGGGACAGGATAGGCATTTTGTGGAGTGGTTATTTGTGTTTAGTTAGAAGTGATTTTTTAAAGACCGGACAGGTGGGTGTTACTTTAAGGAACAGAGTTTGTAAATCAAATTAATTAGGATGTGTTATTTTGTTTTACAGGAGGAATGAGTCTAGGAATTATCCATAGTTTCTGCCTTATTATTTATCATCTGGACTTTTTTTTTTTTTGAGACAGAGTCTTGCTTCGTCGCCAGGCACCTGGCTGGAGTGCAGTGGTGCGATGTTGGTTCACTGCAACCTCTGCCTCCCAGGTTCAAGCTGTTCTCCTGCCTCAGCCTCCGGAGTAGCTGGGACTACAGGCGCATGCCACATGCCCAGCTAATCTTTGTGTTTTTAGTAGAAACGGGGTTTCACCATGTTGGCCAGGATGGTCTCGATCTCTTGACCTCGTGATCCGCCTGCCTCGGCCTCCCAAAGTGTTGGGATTACAGGAGTGAGCCACCGGGCCCAGCTCCATCTGGACTTTCGAACAGACTTTTTTTTTTTTTTTAAAGAAAGGTCTCAGTCCGTTGCCTGGGTTGAAGTGCAGTGGCACGATCACAGCTCACTGTGGCCTCTGTCTCCTGGGCTCAAGTGATCCTCCCACCTCAGCTTTCCATGTAGCTGAGAGTACAGGCACGCGCCACCACACTCGGCTAATTTTTGTATTTTTGGTAGAGATGGGGTCTCTGTCTTGGCCACATTGGTCTCGAAATCCTGGGCTTAAGTGATCCTTTTGCCTCAGTCTACCAAAGTGTTGTGATTACAGGCCTGAGCCAGGGCACTTGGCCCCATCTGGATTTTTATTCAGTTAAAGAATAATTTTTTAATCTGCTTTAGAGTTCACAGTATAATAGAGGAGGCACACACACCTGGTATAGTACAGAGAGACTGCAGTAAGTGCCAGTCTCTCTGTTAAACTAATAGTTTCGTTAGTATAATAGTACTAATGAAACTGTTTTAGCTACTGTGTGAATCGAATCTTACCTAATGCTAACGAAAGAAACTTGTGGAGGCACTGAGAGGGGCCAGCCAATAAGTTTTATTTGAATAAGTCCAGAAAGGCTTCCAGGAGGTGATGGCATTTGATATGGATGAAACATGAGTTACGTTTTTTTAAATGAAGGGAGAAAGTCATGAGAAGTATAAAAGAGCATAGGAATTGAGGAATTGTGGTATCACTCTCCTGATTTTCTTTTCCTTTTTGGCTCATCTCAGTTTCTCTTTTTTTTCCTTGCCATCACTCTTTCCTCTCATACCAGGGGTTCTTTCCAATGTCTCATTGTTCTCTGCACCACTGATGTGGCATCACCTTCATTCCCATCAGTGATACTTAGTTCATACAGTGGCTTAGAGATGAGAGGTGCCTTCTTCCAAGATGAGAATCACTGCTCTGTGCAGCCTCTTCTCAGCCTTATATACTAAAAGCCTGAGCTTTTATTTTAGTGCAGATGTGTCTCCTGATGCACATGGTCACCAGACCCAGTCTGGTCTCAAAATCCTGGGCTCAAATGAGCCCCCTGCCTCACCTGGATATAATTTTTAAAAAATGTAATTCCTAAGGAAAAAAAAATTAATTCCTAAAAAGTCATAGTAAGCAATGAAGTTACGTGGTGTTGCTTGTGATTGTTATTATTACTGTTTTTGAGACAGAGTCTCTGTTGCCCAGGCTATAGTACAGTGGCAAAATCTTGGCTCACTGCAACCACTGCCTCCTGGGTTCAATCGATTTTCCTGCCTCAATCTCCTGAGTAGCTGGGATTACAGGCATCTGGTACCACACCCAGCTAATTTTTGTATTTTTAGTAGACATAAGGTTTCACCATGTTGGCCAGGCTGGTCTTGAATTCCTGACCTCAGGTGATCCACCTGCCTCGGCCTCCCAAACTGCTGGGATTACAGGCGTGAGCCACTACACTGACCCTATTATTGTTAATTTGCCATTGATTATATGTCTGTTACCTGATAAATTATGATTCATCCCATCCTCCCTCTTTTCCCCTCCCTCCCTCTTCCCCTCTCCCCCATCCCAGGCTGGTCTTAAAATCCTGGACTCAAATGATCCGCCTCGCCTGGAAATAATTTTAAAAAAACGTAATTCCTAAAAGGCCATAATAAGCAATGGAGTTATGTGGTGGGGTGTGTCCTGTTGTTAATTTGCCATTGATTATATGTCTATGCTGATGAACTATAATAACATGAATAACATGCTCTTAGGAGTTTTTGTTTTTGAGATGGAGTCTTTCTCTGTCTCCCAGGTTGGAGTGCAATGACGTGATCTTGGCTGACTGCAACCTCTGCCTCCTGGGTTCAAGTGATTTTCCTGCCTCAGCTTCCCGAGTAGCTGGGATTACAGGTGCCCCCCACCATGCCTGGCTAATTTTGTATTTTTAGTAGAGATGGGGTTTCTCCCTGTTGGTTAGGCAGGTTTCGAACTCCTGACCTCAGGTGATGCGCTTGCCTTGGCCTGCAAAAGTGTTGGGATTACAGGCATGAGCCATAGTGCCTGGCCGGGAGTTTTTAATCTTATGAGACTCAGACTGAAAGTTTGAACTTTTGTTATCTGTGTAATGAATAAGATGATTTATAAAGGATATTTTAGGCCGGGTGTGATGACTTATGCCTGTAATCCAGCACTTGGGGAGGCCAAGGCTGGTGGATCACCTGAGGTCAGGAGTTTGAGACCAGCCTGGCCAACGTGGCAAAACCCCATCTCTACTAAAAATGCAAAGATTAGCTGGGTGCGGTCGTGCACGCCTGGAGTCGCAGTTACTTGAGCGGCTGAGGCAACAGAATTGCTTGAACCTAGGAGGTGGTAGGTGCAGTGGGCCAAGATCGCCCAATTGCACTCCAACCTGGGCGACTGAGTGAGAGTCCATCTCAAGGAAAAAAAAAGGATATTTTAACTTTTGATGCTAATTTGGTTTTTCAGTTATGCAGTGCTGGCCAGTACATGTTTTTATCCATGTTAAGTGGGTCATTATTTAGTATCTTCTGTTTACTATGATACCTGACTCATTTCTTTGCCTGCAGCAGGTAACAGGTACTAGTCAATAAATATTGAATTAGTTATAATAGCTATGGTATGTTTAGGGTTGTGCCAGGTTGATACAGGGGTGGAAACATGTTTTGATACCCAGCTTATTAAAATTATTTATTTATTTATTTTTTTGAGATGGAGTTTTCGCTCTTGTTACCCAGGCTGGAGTGCAATGGCACGATCTCGGCTCACCACAACCTCTGCCTCCTGGGTTCAGGAAATTCTCCTGCCTCAGCCTCCTGAGTAGCTGGGATTACAGGCATGCGCCACTATGCCCAGCTAATTTTTTGTATTTTTAGTAGAGACGGGGTTTCATCATGTTGACCTGGATGGTCTCGATCTCTTGACATTGTGATCCACCCGCCTTGGCCTCCCAAAGTGCTGGGATTACAGGCTTGAGCCACCGCGCCCGGCCAAAATTTTTCATTTATAAAACTCATGCTTTACGACCTAGAGAAATACTGTCAACGTTTTGTGTATATCCTTTAATATTTTTTACAGGCAAGTATATTGACTGTATATAATTTTTATAAAAACCAGATTTTTCTTTACATGCTTCTTTGTAACCTGTTGTCCACTTAATCATAATTGGAACATTTCTCTATTAGTAAGATTTTAACTTTTATATATCACTAGGAAGAAATGCTGCCAAATAAACTAGGAAATGCCATCGATTGTCGGATATATTTAGATTTTAGATGTGAACTGTTAAAAAAGTGAAATAATTTGTGCTTTAGAATTGATGAAATATGATTAATTTTATAATGCTGACACAGCATGTTAATGATCCCCTCCTATTCCATTCTGTAGCTTCTTTAATCAGTCCTCTGTTGGACATTTAGTAAGCTTCCAGGGCTGCTTTAGTTTGTAGCTAAATCTTTTACCTATCCTTGATTATTATTATTATTTTTTCCTTTGAGACAGGGTCTTGCTCTGTTGCTCAGGGAGGAGTTCAGTGGCACTGTCATGGCTGACTTTAGCACCTGGGCCCAAGCGATCCTCCCACCTCAGCCTCCTGAATAGCTGAGACTCTAGGCATGAGATACCATGCTTAGCTATTTTTTTTTTTTTAAGATCATTTCTTTAGGATAACTTCTTAGAAGTAGAATTCTTGAGGGGAGAAGTATGCTATTTAAAAAATAAATAGTGATTAACAAAAATAAAAGAAAAAAATATAGTGATTAAACATATATAACCTAATATTTAGCATTTTAACTATTTTGAGGTGTGTAGTTCAGTGGCATTGAGTACATTCACAATATTGTGGAACTGTTACTTTTCACTTCCATAGCCTAATGGTACCTCACAAGTTTCTTAGGTTCTCTATTCAGTCCTTTTTCTTTCCCTTCCTCAGACTCCATAATTTCAGTTGCCCTATTTTCAAGTTCATTGATTTATTCCTCTGGCAGCTCAATTCTGCCTTTGAATTCCCCTGGTGACTTTTTCATTTTAGTCATT